CCTTTGTGATCTTTTGGTGTAGCCTTTGTTTTAAAGTCTATTTTGTCTAGTATAAGTATTACTACCCCAGTTTGTTGCTTTTTTTCTATTTGCATTTGCATGAAGTATCTTTTTCCATACTTTTACTTTCAGTCTCTGTGTGTCTTTCGGTCTTTTGTAGGCAGCATATGCATGAGTCTTGTCCATTTCTTATCCTCTCAGTCAGTCTCTGTCTTTTGATTGGAGCATTTAATCTATTTAAATGTAAAGTAATTATTGAAAGGTATGTAATTGTTGTCATTTTATTATTTATATTTTAGGTCTCTTCTTCCTCTTTCTTCTTCATGTCCCTTTAACATTTCTGGTAATACTGGTTTGCTGGTGATGAACTCCTTTAGCTTTTTCCTGTCCTGGAAGCTTTTTATCTGTCCTTTGATTCTAAATGATAGTCTTGCTGGATAGAGTAATCTTGGTTATAGGTCCCTGTTTTTAATCACTTTTAATATTTCATACCAATTCCTTCAGGCCTGCCAAATTTCTGTTGAGAAATTAGCAGACAGCCTTATGGAAATTCCATTGTAGGTAACTAACTACTTTGATCTTGCTTCTTTTAAGATACTCTTTGTCTTTAACATTTGGCATTTTACTTATAATGTGTCTTGGTGTGAGCCTCTTTGGTTTATCTTATTTGGAACTCTGTACTTCCTGGACTTGTAGGTCTATTTCCTTCATCAGGTTAGGGAAGTTTTCCATAATTATTTCTTCAAATAGTTTCTCACTTCCTTGCTCTCTCTCTTGCTTCTACTTCTGGTACCCCTCTCATGCAAATGTTGGTGCTTTTGCTATTATCTCAGAGGTCCTTTAACCCTATTCTCATATTTTTAAATTATTGTTTTCTTTTTGCTGTTCTCACTGGGTGTTTCTACTACCTTATCTTCCCAATTGTTGATTTTGTCCTCTGCTTCATATAATCTACTGTTGATCCTCTCTAAGGTATTCTTCATTTCAGTTATTATATTTTAATTTTTGACCATCCTTTTTTTTATTTTTCTATCTCTATTTTTGTCTTCTCTATTTATTTGGTAAAGTTCTCACTAAGTTCATCTACTCTTCCACTAAGTTCATTGAACGTCCTTAAAATCAGTGTTTTGCACCTGCATTGATAGATTGTTTGTCTCCATTTTGTTTAGTTCTTTTCCTGGAGTTTTATTATGTTCTTTCATTTGTTACGTGTTTGTCTCCTCATTTTGGCTCCCCCTGTGTTTGTTTCTGTGGACTATGTAGAGCTGCTATGTTTCCCAGTCTTGGTAGAGTGGCACTTGGCAAATTTAAATGTTCCTTTCAAGGAGCAATTTAAGTCTTAATAGCATTACACAGAGCTGCTAATTCTCTCTGTACCTCAATCACTGTACATACTTCTATCTAGAGGTGATCACATAATTTGTCATCCAAACCTGGACACATTGAGAATAAAAAGGTGCACAAATAACCATCAATCCAGGACAAGAGGCATCCCTGACAAATGGTCATACTCCTTTAAAAATAATTATTTACTAACTATACGTCTCTTGTCATTCAATTGTGCCTGCCTAGAATTGTACCTGGCACAGAATGGCAATAGAAAAAATGTTAGTGCCACTTAAAAAATATTCAGTTAATTGCATATTCTACTATCTTGGTGTAGCACTCTAACCATCCCATTTGTGGCCTATTATGAGCTCTTTTCTCAGTATTGCAAATATAGGGTAATGAGCTTAATTATATGTTTGTGAAATGATAATGCTAGTATTTACCAGCACTTAACATGTGCCAGCCTCAGGACTAAGAACTTTGCTTGAGTTGTCTCACTGATTTCTTCCAACAATTCTTGGAAGTAAGTATATTATGGACTCATTAAATGAGAAGAAAGGACAGGTTTGGAAACATTAAGGACCTTGCTCAGGGTCACCCAGCTAATTATCCAGTAGCGGTAGAACTCTAGACTCTGACTCCATTTACCATCTCTCCTGTATGTGAAAATTACCTGGCATCAAATTTTAGAAAGAAGTTTTAATACAATATTAGTAGCATACATTTAAGAAAAAAATATACTTGCTTTAAATTTTTTGAAGGAAAATTTATTTAAGTAAAAGATGAGGAAATCAGGCCAGCGTGGCAGCTATGTGAACTCATGAATAGTGATAGCAGTGGGTTAGACCAACACATTGCTTGCTGTTGTCCTCAATGTTAATGTTTCCATTATTTGTTACAATGCAGATGTACCATGTTATTGATATTTTTGTTGAGGTCATTTTTTGTTTATGAACTAGTAAGTGTGCAAAAACAGTTCCTTTTGTATTATAAGAGTTGCCATGTACTTTTTGTAGCATTTTCAATGTATACTTTGTGAATAGTGTCTGTTTTCTACCCTGTCCTTTTGTAATAAGATTTTATTTGGTAACAATTTTAAGGACAGGCCAGATACATAATTTTGACTCTGAAAAATTGATGAAACACATTGTCAATGGTTGTTTTTTTTTTTAAACAAAAGTAGTCTATTTAATTTAATTTAATTATTTTTAATATATTTTATTGATTTTTCACAGAGAAGAAGGGAGAGGGATAGAGAGCTAGAAACATCAATGAGAGAGGAACATCGACCAGCTGTCTCCTGCATGCTCCTCCTCCAGCCCCGCCCCACCGGGGATGTGCCCGCAACCAATGTACATGCCCTTGACCGGAATCGAACTTGGGACCTTAAAAATAATCTAAATTGTAAGGGATAATATGTAGCCTTAAATTGTTTTAAATCATAAAGGATAAGTTAAATATGTAAAGAGACTATGCTATAAATATAATATTTATAGCAAATAATTATAATACAGACTTTTATATAAATGGTATCCTTCCATTAAATGAAATTCTTCTGAATTTATTTTTCTTTTTTTCTACTGACAGGAGGGGTGTATGAATAGCACCTGAATTGAGATATTATCAAGATATTCAATCATATATGATATGTTATACACAAAATATGAAAAATAATAAAATAAATATTTACTTAATGAATATTAACCTTTATGAATAAATAATAGGAACTTAAAGCATTCATACATGCTGACTACATTTGTAATTCAGAGGAAAGATTACAAATACATATATCACATTCAGAATTTTCTGTTTTGTATGTCCTAGGAAATTTCTAGAATTAATATACCTTTGAGTTTCCTCTAGTTTATCACATTATTCCCACTCAGAGAAATAGAATACTAGGATATCACTGGTTAGGAAAATTTCATTAAATGTCAAGTTATCACTGTACTCAGGACAACTAGGAAATCAATTACAATATAGATAAGGCTTTTATGGTAAACATAGAAATTGGAACCAAGAGGAAATTTAAAAATAGAAAATTGATTTTTGTTTGTTTTGAACTTTTTATTATCTCAAGGGACTTAAATTTTTTTTTCCATTTACTGTAGGCACTTGGGATACATCAGTTGAACAAAACACACAAAAAAATCCATTTTCTAATTGGGAAGACAGACACTAAAAGGTAAACAGACAAAATAAAGAAAGAAAAGATTGTTACAAGGTTCAAAGAGCCATGGAAAGAAAAGAAAAAGCAAGGATTAGGAGTTGGGGTTTGGACAGTTGCAGTTTTAGCGTGGTCAGGCTAAGCATTATTGTTAAGGTGAGATATGTGCAAGGAGGCAAAAGAAGTGAAGGTAGACATTGAGGAAGAATGTTCCCGGCAGCGGGAATGGCTCTGGCAAGGGCCCTAAATATTAGTCTGAACGGAATATTTCCCTGACAAGGAGCTGTAGTCAGAGGAGGATAGGGAAAGGCAAAGCCAAGGGCTTTGTGGGAAAGACCCTGCCTTTGGCAAGAATGAGTTGGGAGCCGTTGGAGGATTTTGACTGGATGAGATGGGAGCTGACTTCTTGTAAGAGGATGTGCTCATTGTTGTTTTGACAATAGACTGAGGTAATGGTAGGCAGGGAGACCACAGGCTAGTGAAAGCCAGAGATGGAAGTAATGCAGGTAACAAGTGGTCTGATTCTGATTTATTTTGAAGTTGCAACTACCAACGGCTTGCTTAGCAGATTGGAGGTGAAGATAAAAGAATGAGAGGAGCCAGGGATGGCTGCAGTTTTTGGCCAGAGCAACTAACTAGAAGGACTGTGGCATGGTCTCGAGTTGCTTTTTGTGCAAGGGAGAACTCTAAACCTAGGGGAAAGAGAAAACCAATGTCGCGCTGATGTAGTCGATGGAGATGGGGAAGATGTACATGCCTATATCCCAAGTCTTGTAGGCTTGAAGCGTATAGGCATTTTATGATAGCAAAGTGTTGGCTACTAGATGGGGGCACTCGTGTGTTTGATTTGGGGATATGTAACATGGACACCTAAAGGAGTCTCGGCAGACAACTGATTTCATCCATTCCCTATGCCAGGTGGATGGGTCTCGGCCCTAAGCCAGCTGATGACGGATTCAAGGGCTCTGATATTCGCTTCAAAAAAGGGGGGGAGGGGGAAAGGCAGTGGTCCGATGATATCAGGGCATCTCTTAACTGCCACCAACTGACAGACCACTAAGTAACTGGTGGGAAGACTCGGCACCAGCCTCGCTCGCCTGGGGGAGTCCACCGCTCCGCTCTGAGCGCAGACACCGCCCCGCCGCGCGGTTCTGGGAGGGGGCGCGGGCCGCAGCCGCCGCGGGCCGGGAGGGGCTCCCGCGCGCCCCCACCAGCCCCGGCCGCCATCTTCTGGCGCGTCCCTTCCCGCGCGAGCTCCAGCCCCAGCCCCCGGCCTCGGCTCGCCTCGCCTCGGAGGGGATTCCTAGTCCGCGGAGCTCCGGGAGCGGCGCGGCGCCCGGTGCAGGAAAAGGCCACGCCCCTAGCCTCCGGGGGCGGGGCCTGCGGATGGGGCGGAGCCTGTGGGCTGGGGGCGGGGCCGGCGCTGCGGCAGCTGCGCAGCGGCGCGGCCCTCCGGCGGCTCTGAGAGCGCGCCCGCCCCTCGCCCCGCCCCTCGCCGGCCTTCGCGGGGGCCCGGGCGGGGAGGGCGGGGCCAGGAAGCGGCGAGTGCGCCGGGGAGCGCAGCTGCGGGCGTGGGGGTGGCGGCAGCCGCGGAGCCGGCGCCGAGAGCGGCTGCGGCCGGAGCGGGCGGGCGGCCGAGACAAAGACGACGGTGAGTGCCGCGCGGCGCCCGCGGGGCGCCGGCCCCCACGCCTCGCGGCGGCGGCCCGCGGGGCGGGGGCCCGGAGCCCCGAGTCCCTGCCGCCGGGGGCTCGGGGGCCAGCGCGGCCCGGTCGTGCCCTCCGCGCGCTGCGGGCTGCGGGCTGCGCCTGCGGCTCCATTTTCGGGTCCGGGTGAGGTCCTCGGGCAGCGCCTGCCTTGGGGCTGCCCTCCTTCACCTCCGAGGAGCGCCCGCTCCGTTCCGCATTCACGGCCGGCGGCGGCCGAGGGAGCCCCCCGCCAGCCGGTGCGGAATGGACATGGAGACCCCAACCCCCAACTTTGCGGGTCCGGGAGCCGGGAGGGCGGAGCCGGCGGCGGGCGGAGCGGGCCGGTGCCGCAGGTGAGGCCGGGGCGGCGGGGACCCCGGCCCCGGGTCCGGGACGCTCGCCGGGGGCGCCCGGCGTGTGGCCCGGAGAGAACCGATCCCCTCCCCGGAGGAGCCGCGCCACTCGTACAGGTTGCCGTACCAGCGCGGCTGCTTCGCGGCGGGTTTGGTACGGTGGGTGGGTGGGTGGGTGGGTGGTAGCGGCTCGCCGGGCGCCGCCTTAAACGCCGAGAAGCCCCGGTGCGCTGACTTCTGGCTTGCAAGAACCAGCGTTGGCATTGCTCTTCAGCGGCAGCTCTTTTAAGTGATAAGCTTTTGTAGGGGAACTTGGTGAAGGCGGCCAGTGTACAGAATTGACGCGTTTTGGTTAAAGGGCCTAGTACATAGTAGATGCTCAGTAAAATGTGTTAAATGAATGAATGAGTCTTGAGACATCAGACAAAGCTGATCTCACCTCTAGTAAAATTTAGACAGACACCCTCTTGACTAAGGAAAAAACCATTCGCAAACAGGAGTTTGTTTTTATATGCTTTTTTTTGTTTTGTTTTTACCCAGCATATACATACCGTTGAGTGAGCGATCAGATATTATTGCAGGCGTGGAAGAAGATGTTTGAAATGTAGAATTTTTCACCTTGAGGAAAGTTGGTAGTCATTTTCTGTTTCTTGAAAATAAGCCTTTTTTTTTTTTTTTTTTTTAAGAATGTAGACTATCAGAGGTGCTTGGATATTTTGTTATTCTTTGGAAGACCCAGCTTTCAATTTCATTATGAATAAAGAAGTTCATGTGCTTTTAGAGGACCTTGGAATGATCTCGAGTTGCTTTTTGAGCAAGGGAGAACTCTATAAGGGATGGGGGGGGGGGGAGGAAATACTGATTTTGCACTAATATAATGAAATCTCTATTTACTCAACAGATAGTCATTAAGCACTTGTTATGTACTGACACCTGTGTTGGATGCTGGGTTTCTAGGGGCAAACAAAACCCACAATTACTCTTTTTTAAAACTTGAGTGTGAAGTTCTTTCCTCATTGTCCATGCTGCAGTGGGGGCTGTCTTACCTCTAGTTCCTACCGAAGGCTGGGAAAGATGACAGGTGAAGCTCCATGGAAGTGTAGATCCGTTAACAGTCTTTTGGAAGGTAACTTTATAGGGCTAAGATTTTTGGTTCATTTTCATGGTATCGGTTTAACAATGCAAATCACTCTGCAATTTAAAATGAAGGATGGAAGAGTTTTAGCAAATTAGTATTTTTATTCCGTCTCCCATATTGGATGATTTTGGTTCGGTGTATTGATTGAGAGAGTAATGCACTTCTGGTTCTGTTTTCTGGAAATAATCTTTGCTGTGGAACATTTTCTGTTTTCTAAAATTTCCAAGGAGAAACAGTGGATTCCTTTTCTATAAGAAAGGTGTTTTTGTTTTGTCTTTTTTTTTTTTTAATTGATTTCAGAGAGGAAGGGAGAGAGAGAGATAGAAACCTCAATGATGAGAGAGAAGCATTGATTGGATGCCTCCTGCATGCCCCACACTGGGGATGGAGCCTGCAACCCTGGCTTGGAAATTGAACCCACGACTTCCTGGTTCATAGGTTTAACGCTCAACCACTGATCCACTCGGGCTAGGCAGAAATGTTTTTAAATATTTATTTATTATTATTTTTTTAAAATATATTTTTATTGATTTTGTACAGAGAGGAAGGGAGAGAGAGAGCTAGAAACATCGATGAGAGAGTCATCGATCAGCTGCCTCTTGCACACCCCCCACCGGGGATACGCCCACAACCAAGGTACATGCCCCTGACCGGAATCGAACCCGTGACCTCTCAGTCCCCAAGCCGACTCTCTATCCATTGAGCCAAACTGGTTTCGGCTGTTTTTAAATATTTAAGATAAAGCATTTTTTCATAAATTTTATTTTGACCATTCACCATATACAAATAATATAGTATTTGACTTGATAATGTTGAAAAGGGAAGGAAATAATAATTTGTGGTTTCATATTTGGATATTTCCCTCTAGTATTACAAATGAGATAAAAAGAGAATGGGATTGTAGTATTGATTAATTCTGAACATATGTGATTAAAAAAACTTTTATTTGGCTTCTTCAGAAGTCAAATTAATGTGCTTTAAAGTCAATCCTGATCATGATAAAATAATGTAGATTAATAATTTTTTTACAGATAGCTTTTGAATTTGGAATGAACCCTATTGACTTAATGTTTTTAAGGTAATGTGTACATGTAAATGTACTGTCAGATCTTTAGATTTATTGGCTGTTAGCTTTGTTTGGTTGTTTCTAGGAATAATAGTAGAGGAAGTAATCTCTCAAATTTTAGTAATAGTTTTCCTTGAAATGTACTTTTTTTAATAGAGTTATTTGACAGTATACTCCTGATAGTCTGTTGTTGAGAAATCTATCATTTTCTGATAAGGAATCTAGCAATAAATGAGAATAGTGATGGTGAAGAACAATGTAAGCAAGCTGTGATATGTTGAATAAAAAATGCTTGGCATGTTTTATTTGGATAAGAACTTCATCAGAATTCTTGACAATCAACAGCACTGGCACATGTTAGAATATCTTTTCCAAGAAATTAGAACCCATGGTGACTAATTTTTTTGTACCTTAAAAAGTACCAAGTCTTTTTAAAGTATCCCTACCTTGGAGTAGTTCATATGTCCTGAGGCTAAATAAATTCCAGGATCCCCCTATTTTATGATTGTTTGGATATCTGAAATGTTCATCAGGGTATGTGTGAGTATTTGGGGGAGAGGTTTTTGTTTTTTGTGTGTTTTTTTTGGTTTAAAATCTCCAAGGAGAAACAGTGGATTCCTTTTCTATAAGAAATGTGTTTTTGTTTAATCTTGTTTTTTGATTTCAGAGATTATTTTCAAAAGGGAGAGGGAGAGAGAGATAGAAACATCAATGATGAGAGAGAATCATTGACTCTAGAATAACCTGGAAAGTATTTAGTCAGGTATAATAAAGTAATTACGAATGATGCTGATAATGGTACGTTGTAGCTGTGTCCAATTTGGTTGTATAGATTGTGAGAGAGTATCAATTAACATTGGTATAAAACAGTTCCAAAGTGTTTTATAACTGATTTCTCACATTTGTTCTACAGAATAGGTTGTTATTGTGCTTTTAGGTCCCACTTGTGTGTTTTTTGTGTTTTGTTTCTTTTTTAATTTATTATCATGAAAGTGTTTACGTTCCTCATTTGCTTTAGGATGAATTTGAGATACTTTGTTAAGGCTTTATAAGATTTTTTCCTCACAATTGCAAATGCATATTGATTTTGATCTGTTACAATGTTCTTAATTTCACTTCTCACAAAAAGAAATATTTCAATATTATATTGAATGTTAAATGTCAGATCTGTCTCAGAGTGGGACAGTATGGGTTCCCTCTGTGTTCTTGAGAGGAACTGAGTGAAACATGCTTATCCTTAATACTTACTAGTGAGGTGAGGACATTTATTCTGATTTGTTTTTTGTTTTTCATACTTCCTGAGAAAACTTGGAATTTAGCTTATTAATAATTAACTTTATCCTGCTTCCTCAGTTCAAAGCTTAAGTATACTTGAACCTTTCAGTTACTAGCAAATATGAACAGAGCGGGGTTTAGCTGAAACTGCTCAGGGCCCCATCCAAAGGGAGTTTCTGAACTGAAAGCCAAAGATGTAATAAATTGTCTTTATCCTGACACTTTAAAATACTTGTGTATTTTAATCAAAATGGGTTATGGTATTAAAGCAAACAAACAAACAAAAAATCTCCCTCTTTTTCCTAGAAAGCATTGTTAACTCCATATTAAATTCGATGTCTCTGAACACGACTAAATGATGAGCACTGATATTTCTGTGTGGTAGGTTACACTCTTAGAAATTCATGCTAAGGTTTCTTATTGAATCTTTATGACTGAATATTTGTAAGCATCTTCTACTAAAACAAAATCATTTTGTTTCATTTGACTTTTTTTTTTCTTTTTCCAGTTTTTGTTTTTCAAAGCAAAAATGAATTGTGTATATTTTGCACCTGACATGTAGTGGGAATTCGTGGACATTCCTGGAACTGGTGTGTTCAGTGGGTGGAACTTGATACAAGTTTAAGCAGAAAATGACTGACTTTCTCTCACCATACCTTGGAACCCTCCCTGTAGATTAAAGTCTTTGCCTGTCTCTCAGGTTCTTAGGAAAATTAGATAGCCTTTCTAGTTATTTTTAGGTAATAAAGAGTGTTCTACTTACTTGCCAGTAGTGGTTTTATATTAATTATTAGTAGTCTTATTATAGCCATACCTCTTTTTATTTGCTAGCTCTTCTTCAGTCTGCCATCCTCCCCTGTCCAGGCTTCAGCTCCTGGGAAAGGAGGTTGGGGATTGGCTCGTGCTGCCATGATCTGCTATGGGTGCCTTCAGTTGGTCAGGTTGTTCACAGCTGACTTTCTCCAGGAGTGCCTGCCGGAAATGGTTTTCATGGGGTCTCCATGTCTGGAAACCTCCAGCTGCAATTCCTGTGATCTCATTCTGCTCTAGTTCCTTAGCCTTCCAGTTTCCCTCCTCTTCAGGCTCACTTTGCTCAGGAAGGGGTTTTGCTTTAGTCTGATAGCTCTGTGG